ACACTGCCAAGCTATTTAAGTGAACTGGAAAAAAAAGCTTAAGGATGCTGTAAATGGTATTGTATACACCAATATATGATACCATTTACACAGCATCAAAAGTCTATTCTTTCCCTTTGACAGGATAAATTGGTATCATATCATATTGTTGTGATGGAATTTAAAACGAATGATTTCATTTATACAAAACAGTATAACATTTTAATATCAGCCCTTTTATCGGTTATTATCAGTCATAGAATTGTAATATTGTTCGTTGCATCCCCAACAAATTTTAACTTAAAATCTTAATGTTGAAAAATAATAAGTAATAATATGCTGCCATGTAATTTGTATTGAAGCCTATTTCCGCCACGAAATAAGAAAAAGTAATTGCAACTTGGCTATGTCTCACAATTCTTAATTTCTTGCAATTTTTTCATTAGAAATACAACTTTTTTCTTAGAATTGTGAGTTTGCATATTACAATTTTTACTTTTTTTTTCTTGAAAATCTGAGATGTAAACTCAAAAAATCATAGTAAAAAAAAAGTCAGAGTAAATTGATATGTTAACTCAAAATTGTGAGAAAAAATTGGTAGAATTGTAGGATATAAATTCACTATTCTAAGAAAAAATATATTATAAGTATATACTTTTTCTTAGAACTATATTCTAAAAAATAAAGTTTTGATACATTTTTTTTATTCTGAAATGGGAAAGAGCTTCCATAAATGTGCCAACTACTAAATATTAGGCTACATATACTGTATTTTATATTAGTGTTTATATAAAAAAGCTATATATATATATATATACTATATATATACACATACACACACACACATATATATATAAAACGCACATATATATAAACACACACACACACACACACACACACACACACACACACACATATACTATATATATATATATAAAAAAATTATTATCATTTATTTTTAATTATTATTGTCTCTGAGAGATAATCATCTTCTAAACTCTTTAACAAACCTATACTATCAATTTCTCCTCTGCATGTTCCATTCACTTAAACCAGTCACCAAATAAGGCATTTCTTTAAGGATGGCTGTGCTGTCTCACAAGTGACTCAGGGAATCATGATAATGGGTAACAGAGCCTCACATCCAGCCAAACAAACCCACTAAACACAAGCCAGGGCCTGGAGTGGCCAGCAGCTGTTGGGAGGAAGCTCTCTGAATCACAGGGACAACAAAACAATGGCACTCTTTCAGCCATGCCCACATCTTCTTCTCATCCTCTCCAGTGCTTCCCGCCCACAGCCTGAACGCTCCTGCTCTTTTTGCTCTAATCCAAACACCCCAGGTTGATGGGAGGTGCGAACATGTGACCGAGGGCTCACATTAGGGCCAGATGCCCTGTGTGAGTCAGGCGAGTGTAAAAGTAAAGGTAACAGAAGTCATCACACAATTACACACTCGCTTAGATCAACGAGGCTCTTAAACAGACTGGAACTGTAAACTAAACCGCACTTGACCATGTGACGACTGCTTTTCAACATTGTGCGGTTTATTTATCTCTAAATTGATCTCATTCATGCACCTTCCTTTGCACTTTGTTAGTTATTTTATCTTCCATTTGCAATTTGTTTGAAACGCCTTCTGGCATTGCATTAAAATAGAACAGTTCTAAGAACTATCTAAGCACCCTGTTTCCAATTAGTTGCTGTATCATGTCCAGGCGAGACACTGGAGAGATGGGATCATTTAAGTAGGTTAATCAACAGCATCAGGACATGGCCAGTGATAGGGCATGTTTCTTGTTTCTGTTTAGGTTACCGGGTCAAGCAGGAGGAGTATATTATGATTCAACTGTTCCAGCTCAAAAGATCCAATTCAAATACATTCAAATTTATCTTTGCATTGCTCATGTATTAAAACGACAACACGTCTTGGAATATAGTGCACAACAAGTCATATGGACTACTTATGGTGGTTTTCCATCATTTTCAAATCTTTACTGTCTCTTTTTGACTGGCTATTCGCTTCATTGAATGAAAAAGAGCAGCATAAACGTCTTGTTTAGCATCTCTTTATTGTGTGTTTGAGCTGGTCTTCCAGCCTGGTGGTCATGGTTTTAGTGGGGTTTTGGCCACTTCTTTAGATGGTCAGGGTGGTCTAAGCTGGTTTTAGTGGGGTTTTGGCCACTTCTTTAGATGCTCAGGCTGGTCTTAGCTGGTTTTAGTGGGGTTTTGGCCACTTCTTTAGATGGTCAGGCTGGTCTTAGCTGGTTTTAGTAGGGTTTTGGCCATTTCTTTAGATGGTCAGGCTGGGAGACCAGCTGACCAACCACCTAAAAAACCAGCCAAGCTGCTTTTCCCCCCCATCAGCCATAGAAGAAATAAGTCATAGGCTACAGGTTTGAAATAACATAAACGAATAAATGATGACATTTTTGGGTGAGCTACATCTTAATTTTCAAGACTGATCTCTGAATTTTCAAGACCTGACATGAGGCAAATGTAAAATGTAAACTGGAGGTTTAAAAAAAAAAAAAAAACTCATTTAAAGAGCTAAATCATTGTGTTACCTCATGACTTCTTCCTACTAAATAAACGATTTACACATATATTGGTTTAATTATTATTATTATATAGGCCTATTGTTGGACCCTAAAAATGAAACCGACTGTTGCATGTCAGACTGTTGCTTCCCTCTACTGGATTACCAAGTGAACTGTTTGCATTGAGACTGAATGAAAATCATCACCATAAATCGCTGTAAAATGACTAACGTTACTGTAATCAAAAACAATAAGTGTATGGTCCATCCTGATCATCGCTACCAATACAGGTACCACCTTAAAAACGCCGACTGTGCAAACAAATAATAACAACGCCAAAAATAGTCACTAAAATGGAATTTAGTTTAGTTAAAATTAATAGAAATATAGGATAAGTAATTGAACGTACCTGAGCACGCCGCGTTCACCGCTGAACTCCAAACAATCACTGGTAATGGACGGGGGCGCCATCTTGCGGTAGGAAGAGTTGCCAAGCTTGTGTCATATCACCCAAATGAAACTGAACATGTAAACATAATTTTCTTAAAGTCATCTTTAAAAAAGATAAGGCTGCTCTGAAGTGCTTATGCACTTGCTCCAAATTCACTGTACAGACAAAAGGCCACATAACAGCCTTCTAAAATGTGACAGATCTGACCACTTCTGCCCCTTTGTATTAGAGGCTGCTCTAGAACTGCTATGCCTGTGTTCATTTAAATACAGCATCAGAGTAGCATTAACATTTTCCACTCCCTGCTGAAAAAATAAATAAATAGCTAAAACCAGCCTAAGATGGTTGGATTGTTTTAGACGGGTTTTGCCCAGCTTTTTTTTTAAACTGGCCATTCTGGGAGACCAGCTTAAACCAGTTAAGACCAACCAACCAGCCTAGGATGGTTTTAGCTGTGTTTTTTCCCAGCAAGGACTGTGACAGGTTTATATTTTTATAATTCGATTAATAATTAATATATTTCCATTCAGAATTTCAAGTTTCTTTATTCAGAGAATTCAAGTTAAATTTCACATTTGAGAAGTGTAAAGATAGAATTAAATATAGGCCTGTTAGTTGTAAGATAATTATAAGATCTATTGGAAATTGTATATTTTAAAAAAACATGATATAAAAGATATTGACTGGAACGTATGGAATGACCATAAATAGAAGCAAAACAGAAACATTTTTTAAACAATCAAAAATGAATGTATTATTTTAAATAATAAAATACATAATAAAACAACACAGTGCCAAATTATTTTTTTTAATTACAGACAAAGACAGACACACATTTCAGTCAGGAATTGTGGCTTTCTGTGCAAACAGCAAATGTGTGCTTTTAATGCTGATTCAGGCCCTCTTCCATTTGGCAAAACAACACTTACAGTTTTCCAAGAGACACAACAGCTGCACCACTATTTAGCAGCAAACTATTCCACACAGACCAACCACTTACTTTTCACAGACTTCAGCAACTAACTTACTTTAACTTTCACAAAACACATACAAAGTCAATGAGATTCATCTAGTGCACCCAGTGCTCTTCAGTTCTCCGAAATGCATTTGCTCAGAAAGTCACAAGATATCCAATATGGACGAGTAACTTCATTTGACACTACTAGAAAAAAAGAAGAAGAAAAAAAAGAAAAGAAAAGTATTTCTAAAAGTGATAATGAAGTGCGAGTAGGATAAAGATTAGGCACAAATGCCACAAATCAACAAACTTCCATTATTACAAGTCTTAAAAATAGTTAAAAATAAAGTTTTAGAAGAGAAACAGTTGATGGGTTTGAGATTATTGCACATCAAAAACATAAAAATTTAAAACAAGTGCAGAAAGGAAACAAAAAGAACACAGCCAAACAAAAATAGATTAATGTGCACATATAAAAGTTAAATTAAACACTCTAAAACTGAAATGCATGAAAACATTTAAATATTGCAATTAAAATAATGTGATCTTTATTAAAATTATATTAAAATATATTATCTCAACATTGTCACTTAGAAAATGACCTAAATCACTTTATGCATCTTTCTATTCAGTTTTAACCTACCACTGAATATTAGCTACATAAAAGCTTGTATTTGTAGGTCATATTTAAAACAAATGTGTTCATCAACCTACATATAGATGTTTCTCAGTAAAACTGAGATATCACCTGTGTGACCTCCCATTTCAAAGCAAAAATCTTTGAATAAACTGGCAGTAGATGTGGCTTTTTATTGCAACTTCCCTGGGTCGGATCATCTGATCCTTTCTTCCTTCAGTTTTAACGGGTTAGAAATGTTGTAGCAGCTGTAGAATTCTACGGTTTCCTTGTTATTAGTCAATGACACATTATTGAGTGAGATGTTACAGAACTTCAGAACTCAATTCTGCATCCATCAGTCTGTTTTACAATTTATCCGAGCTTTTTTCAGCAGTTGTCCACATCAGCTCTTTGTTTGCTATTTTGTGAGCATTTGTTCTATGCAGTAGTCCATGTGGTTATGTAGTCTCTGTTCACCGTTCACATTTTCATGTATTACACCACCATGTTGTGTGTTGTCATTCACGTTACTTGCGTCCCTTCGGTACAGCTCCAGGACTCCAGGATGAACCAGGCGCTCTGCTGACATTTTTGTAAAGCTGACGAAGCACAAAGTCATAGTTGGCAGTGGTGCACATGGCATAGAACACGTTGGCTTTGTCTGGGATCAGCAACTCTAATATAAAAAAAAAACATATGTATATATATATATATATATATATATAAAAAATTGATTTATTGAGTGCTAAATAAATATAACAATACAATTGCTAACATTTAAACTAAAATTAACGGGATAGTTCACCCAAAAATGAATATTTTGTCATTAATTACTCACCCTCATGTCATTCCAAACCCGTAAGAGTTTCGTTCGATATTTTTGATGAAATCTGAGAGATTTCTGTCCCTCTGTTGACAGCTACGCAACTATCACTTTGACGCTTCAAAAGATTCATAAAGAGATCGAAAAACTAATCCATATGAATCGAGCAGTTTAGCCAAAATTTTCTCAAGAGATTTAATCGCCTTATGATAAAAAGATTGAATTTAGGCTTTTATTAACATATAAACATTGATCAGCAAACATAAACAGAAGCTCAACCGAACCTGCTTGACGCACAAGAACAAACCTCTTACAGAAGCTCAAACGTGCTGCGTAACACGAGAATGAACCTCATTGGTTCTCGCATGGCAAGCGAACATGCTTGAGCTTCCAATTACCACAAATGATGTGTGAGCTGATGAATGTTTATATGTGAATAAAAGCCTAAATTCAATCTGTTAGTCATATAAAGAGTCTCTTCAGAAAAATATGGACTAAACCGCTCGATTCATATGGATTAGTTTTACGATCTCTTTATGAGCTGTCAATAAAGGGACAGAAAGCTCTCAGATTTCATTCAAAAGATTTGGACATTTGTGTTTTGAAAATTAACGAAAGTCTTATGGGTTTGGAACGACAGGAGATTTTTTGGGTGAACTATCCTTTAAAATAAAGATAAAAATAAAAGCTAATTTAAAATATTAATAGATACTATAATGATATATAATAAGTAATACTAAAATACTTGAATCTTCTTTCAAGGTCATACATAGAATCAAGCAGCTCACCTTTGTCACTCGAAAGAACTTGTGTGAGACTAAAATCCTGGCAGTTCATCTCCTCCAAGTTGTGTTTCTCCAGAGCTCTCTGAATCACCTGAGCCGTCTTGTCCTGACTGGTTATCTAAAGATAAAGAGATGATACAGTTTCAAGACTTTAGAATCACTGGCCCTGACAACTGAGTAAAGAGACCATTAACAGACATCTTGCTAAAAAGAACTGTCAAATAAAAAAAGACCAAAACTGTAAATTAAAGACCAAAAGAACACAGCCGAAATCTAGGACCATGAGCCACCAACTGTTAAAGTCAACTTACCAAAATACTTTTATAAATGTTTCCGCTGTTGCCAAATTCCACACTGACTCTGATAATACAAGTATCGGCAACTTGCTTGTTGTACATTGGATGAAGGGCAGCGTGCAGCTGGAGAGAAGGAGAGGATGACGAAGATGACGAAGATGTTGCAGATGAAGAAGGGGAGGGGCTGTCAGACAGATCTGCCTGTAGGGATCTTCGAAAGGAGGTGGGCGGAGTCACAGAGACGGTGGGTGTGTCTACTGAGATGTCCTGACAGGATACAGACTGTGACTGTGAATGAAGGGATGGAGAAAGACTATTTACCCCAACACATCTAATTATCAATAAGAACAGGTCTGTTAGGACCACAGCACAGGGTTTTCAGATAGTAATAGTTCGCCCCAAAATGAAAATTATCCCATAGTTTACTCACCCTCCTCAAGCCATCCTAGGTGTATATGACTTTCTTCTTTCAGACGAACACAATCGGAGTTATATTAAAAATATCCTGGGCTCTTCCCAGCTTTGTAATGGCACTGAATAGTGTCCAAGTTTTTAAAGCTCCAAAAAGTGCATCCGTCCGTCATAAAAGTAATCCATACGACTCCAGTGGGTTAATAAATGTCTTCTGAAGCAAAGCGATGGGTTTTTGTCAGAAACATATCCATATTTAAAACTTTATAAACTGTAATCACTGGCTCGTATGGATTACTTTTATGATGGATGAATGCGCTTTTTGGAGCTTCAAAAACTCAAGACACTATTCAGTGCCATTATAAAAGCTTGGAAGAGCCAGGATATTATATATTATAACTGTGATTGTGTTCGGCTGAAAGAAGGAAGTCATATACACCTAGGATGGATAGAGGGTGAGTAAATTGTGATAAATTATCCCTTTAAAGCTGTCAATGGAGGGTCAGAAAGCTCTCAGATTTAATCAAAAAATAAAACTTGTTTTCCGAAGATGAACGAAAGTCTTACGGGTTTGGAAAGACATGAAGAATTTCATCTTTGGGTGAACTTATCCCTTAAGTGGCACAAGTGACAATATGAGGTGCATCAGAAAGCTTAATCATTCAGATGAATCTGACTTTTTATCTGGGTGTTTAGCAACACGGATTACAAGTGATAAATATTTCAGTCATTTATGTAAAACTTCACAGGCTGGCAGTGTTTTTATCTAATACACTGCGTTCGGTCAACCTCACTACAGCTCTTTGTTGATAGTGCAAACAAGAACTATATGACTGCAAGGTTAAGGCGAAACAAATCAGTCACAAACACCTTAATGGATTTTCTAACCCAAAGGCTACAGTATAAACAAATGGTCAAATAGGTTTGGCGTTTATTTTAGGCCCTGTCAGATTCAGGACTATTGATTTAGTTTAATTAATTATAAATAAATAATGCAATAAAAAAAGAAAACACGTAATTATATCCCCTGACCCACATACACCGAAAGACACTGGAAACACAACAGACGTCATGCAACAGCTAAAGACATCCGTCTGACGCATGTGTACATCGGATTTATTTTAGTTTTATTAATATAATTTTGTAGTACTTATTTTATATTTTGAATTAGCTTTTTATTTTTATATTTTCAGTTTTCTTTTGGTAGTCCTGTTTTGTATGGAAGCTTGTATCTGCCACAGTATAACAAAATAAAAAAAGGTAATTGCGACTTTTTTTTCTTGCAATTCCAAGTTTAAACTCACAATTTTAACCTTTTTTTCCCTCACAACTGCGAGTTTATAACTCACAATTTTGACTCCTCTTTTTTCCGCTTCAGTATTAGTTTTATTAATTTTATTACTTTATTATTATTACTTAATTATTTAGTTTGTTTATATTTTTTCTTTCACATTTTACATTTCATTTACATACAGTTTTTTGTCAAATATTTATATTTTATTTTATTTCAAGTTCATTTCAATGACCCAAAACAATTTTGAATAGTTTTAGTTAACTCTGGTGTACAAACACGAACACAAAAATAGCCATCTACAAAAGCATCAATATACAGCCACATTTGGTCAATTCAGTGCTTTTATCAGCCGCAAAAACGTAATTTCTCAGCAAATATATGCCATTGTGTGCTACTGATTAATTCAAAATATCATAATTACTTTGATTAAACCTTTTTAATCGGTTGATAGCCTAAGGTTATATTAAAGGACTAAAATATTGTAGCAACTCTAGTACAAAACGTCTGTAGCTCTAGTCTGCAGGTTTTGTTATGCTGAGTTGTTACCCGTACTTTGTATCCAAGAGGTGAGAGGTTGGGGCTGCTGAGATCTTCCATCTCTGAGCCACTGGAGCCAGAGGACGATACACTGATCTGATCAGCAAGAGTTTTCTTTGAGACGTTCTCACTGCCAGACAGCAATCTGCAGTGAGCAGAAGAGAAACACATCACAGAAAACAAGCAAGTTAGAAAAATGTCATATTACTTTCTGAGTCTGAGTCTAAAGGCCCCCTATATACTAGCCTGACTTCGTCATACTCATATTCTAGTCAGAATGTGTCTGTGTGAATGATACTGCTCCATAGGGCTTTGATTATGAGGCGTGTCTTAACCGAACCAGAAAAAAATCTGCACTCAATTGGATAGACCTACAACCAATCAGAGCAACACAGTAAGTGACGTATGTTGAGCACGCGTAGTTGTCAACAGAACTCAACTGCACGCACACTGGAAGTAGTAAAATAATGAGTGTAAACGATCTTTGCCGGTGTTGTAAAAAGAATTTAACGATTCGCGGAGTACTTGCAAACACAAAAAGCATTTTTGAGAGAAATAGAAAAGGTGAATGTATATACGAACAAGTTCTCCGTTTAGGATTAGATCTCGACAATAAAACAAACAAATCTGCTCGCATTTGTCGGCCCTGTCTCAACTTTATAACACGGTTGCAGCGTGACTTGACTGATTTTAACAATCATCTGTCCATCATCATATAAAGCCCGCCCTGGCAATTTGATTGGCCCGACGATTTCTGAACAGATCATAATTACTCCTCAATGGATCGAGTCCAGACCGAACTTCCCGACCAAAAAATGTTGTGGACGGGGTTCGGCCTGGCATCCAAGCTACATACAGTACTTCATGCCAAATCGAAGACCGAACTGGTGTGACATTTCTTCTGTTTACAGTACAAATTGAAGTTATAATTCTAATTGAAAGTGACACTTTCATGTTTAATGCTGTAAAGCTGCATGCTTTAAAGCAATCTACTCTATAAAATGCTTTATAAATAAACGTGACATGACTGAATGGAGTGCCGAATTGCAGAGCTGGTGCAAATATATCCACATCCTTATAATCAGATGCTCTCTTAACTGCCGTTTTCTCACTGCTGTCATTTTTGTTGTGTTTATTTTGTTATTGAGAACAGCACATATCTATATATTCATCCAAATTGTCACTGTCAACATGTTCAAACTTCCTTTTACCGCTAGGCGAAAAACAAAAAAACACACTTTACCATGAGTATATTGGGGCCTTGAGTCCATAAAATGGAAACTGGTGCTTTGAAACTGTGAATAACACTCACGAGGTCAGTTTCTTGGAGATGAGCCGGTGGCTCCAGTGGTTGGGAGAGCCTGGACAGGGGTCAACTGGTGGCTCCAGCTCTCTTGACAACTCATAACTGATGAGAAAGAAAGACTCGACTGACTCTTGATATCTAAATATCTGAGATGCTGAGATGAAGTACTCAAAGTACCACTGCCTTGAATTCTAAGTCATTTCTTTTAATCTAAACCAACATTCTTAGCAAGGAAATGATCACACTGAGAATGATCATCAGAATGTGCAAGTGGCGTCTCACCTCTTCTGGTCAGTAAGGGGCATGCTGCTGTTGATCCAGGAAATGATATGAGGATGTGATTGTAGAGTGTACTGAGCACATGATGCCTGCAGCTGCCGGATCTGAGACAGAATCTCAAACTCCTGAATACAGAAAGGAATGGAGACAGAGAACGCCATGCGTTACCGCTAGCTCTGGACCAAAACCTAGTGAGCTTCTTTTCACTAAAACAATATTTAAGACAATTGTACTTACTTTTCTACGCTTCTCAAAGTTGATGAGACCTCCCTGTGAGCACAAAGAAGAGAGTTATCTTTTAAACAAAAAAAAACTTCAGAGTGGGAACTGAAATTGAAAACACTGTCTGTGAAATGAATTAAGGTAAAAAAATAATTCTCACCTGTACATTATCACTTAGTGCTGTGTCCAACATGGTGAGAACTGTTAGATAAGTGCCCAGGTACGGCACCTCACCATTGGAGGGGTTCTGTCAGAAAAACAAAGTTGTCAGACAAAAATACACTATTGTTCAAAAGATCAAAAGGGGTTGGTAAGATTTTAACATCTTTTTGAAAATAGTCTCTTATGATCACCAAGGCTGCATTTATTTGATCAAAAACAGTATAGTAATATTATGAAATATTATTACAATTTAAAATAACTGTTTTCTATTTTAATATTTAATTCCTGTGATGGCAAGCTGACTTTTTAGCATCATTACTGCAGTCTTCAGTGTCACATGATCCTTCAGAAATCATTCTAATATGCTGATTTGGTGCAAAAAAAAAAAAACATTTCTTATTGTCATCAATGTTGTAAACCGTTGTTGTAATCAGTGCCAACAAATATTTTTGTGGAAACGTGATAGTTCTTTTCAGAATGAAGAAAACATTTATTTAAAATACAATTTTTGTAACAATGTAAAAGTCTTTACTGTCACTTTCGGTAAATTTAAAGGCACACTGTGGAACTTTTCAACCTTTATAATATATTACCAAAACCCATTGAGATGGTACATCGACTTACAATAGGTTGAATGACACGTCTGCCGAAGCCTGAAGGTGTCTGTATCGCTTTTACCAGCACTATGTAACTTCGGGTTTCGGGTAGGAACCCGAGCACAAAAAGAACTACAAAATTCGACCGCTTTACGGCATACGTCACTTCCCCCACCACCCCAACTTCCTCAAATTCTAACGTGAGAGCTCAACTCGCGTTTGATTGCCGGCGTCTGTATGTTGTCGTCATGACTGAATGAACAGCTACTCGGAAGAAAGCGAAGAAAGCAAAGATTTTGTCAGAGGAGACCAAAAAAAAGAAAAAGGGAGAGTTTAAAATAAACATCGGCATAAAAGTGTATATATAATGTAATATTTACTGCGAATTCGTGTAACAAAACTGATATAAGTCACAACATACTGCCGTATACAAATGTAAATGTTTTTTTTTCCTTTCAGCTCATATATGTTTGTATTTGTGTAAAAGGAAAAACAAACTGAAGACTACAAATAACGGAAATATGTAGTGAGTTATATCAGTTTTGTTACACGATTTCCCGACTACTCGATTTCATCTCCAACCCATTGCAAAGAGATCCTGAAGACGTTAATTGTTTGCTTCAGGTGTGTTTGATTAGGGTTGGAGATGAACTGTGCAGGACAGACGATCGGCAGGAGCAGGATTGGGCAACCCTTGTCAATGCGACTTACCTGATCAGACATTGTTTTCTGCGTATGCTACTTTTATTCAATTTGTTTTCTTTATAGGATTTATATTATTAATCTTATATTTATATTATTATTTTGGTCAGTAGTGAATCGATTAACTTTCTCCAACATACAAATCAAATGCCGTCTGCACACACATAAAGACACGGGAGGTTGACCGGTTGACTGTTGACTTTTGCGACAATGCTGCGGCGCTTGTGGCCTCTAGGGGCACTAGACGTGAAAATTACAGGTCGAGCGCACCCTAGTGGCCAAAAATTCCACAGTGTGCCTTTAATGCATCCTTGCTAAATAAAAATATTAATTTCTTAAAAAAAGAACATCTTACTGACCCCACACTTTTGAACGGTACTGTATACTATATTTAAACATGAATCCACAGACTGGTTTCAATTAAAATGTCCTCTTTTAAGCACACACATTTGTTCCCAACAGCTAAAATTGATTTACATCAAGTATAAATATCTTAGTTGCTTAGGAACTTCTGAGGAACACTTAGGAAGATTTTAAGATTTTAACATCTTAGGAACACACTGTTGATGAACCTTTACTAATGATAAACCTTACTCCGTCATACTGTGTCGGCTGGCATTATGGTAATACCCTTTTGAGTGTTTTAATTAATGAGCTGGCAGATTCACGTTTAGAAACATTTTCGTTTTGGAGATGAAATTACTTGAGTCAAATTAGCTGGTGCAGATGCATACATCCCAAACAGGGTCGTTTTTTCACAGAAACAACAGCTTAATGATATTTTAAAAGCAAGTTGTGCCAGTAACCTTAAATGAGACAAATACACAACATTCAGCAGGGCTTTGTTATTCTAAAAGCGACTAGTCAATCTTACCGTGTGCTTCAATGTAGGACTAAGTCTGGGAGACTTTGGTGCAGAGTGAGAGTCTACCTCTGCTGACTGGTTTTCTTCCTAAATCAATCACAAATAAATAGATTGGCATTGGAAATGCAAACAGCCTGAAACTCTGATTTAGATAAGCATAACCGAGCATAAGATGCACTGAAACAACTGGCCCGGAAAAAAAACACTTACATAAATCACTTTAGAAGGCATTCAAAGCCAATATCCCACACCCGAAGAGATTCCACAATTCAAGATTAAGTACAATTACAGAACATGATAAAGATTAAGGTTAAAGAGAAGTGGGATAGACTACTACAAGCCACCAAACAATGAATGTTTTATTGTTATACATTGAACACTAAACACTGCAGAACATTGTGGGATGTTTTGCCTCCTTAATGGTATCTTTGCCAACAGGATGATTCTGCCTTTTTTTTAACCTCATCTTCCTCCAGCCCCTATTGATTTACTCTTTGCATGCAAGCTAGAGTGAAAGGGGCTATGGAAAATATTAAATGTTGCTAGGTAGCATCTTTTAAGATAGTAAAAAGGGCATAAAAGCAGCCATGGGATGAGATCACTTCATAATCTTATCAGAGATTCAACAGTGCTATCAGCTCTTACACATAATGTTAAATCTTTAGAGGCACCTGTTCGCACATTGTAGTCCAAAGTGTTAGATATTGATGAAAGTTTAGGTCAGTAAGATGTTTTTTGGACAGATATTAATATTTTTATTCAATAAGGACATAGTAAATGAATAAAAAAATGACAGTAAACACATTTATAATTTTACACAAGATTTATATTTCAAATAAATGCTTTTCTTTTGAACTTTCTATTAATCGCAAAAAATATATATCATGGTTTCCACAAACATATTAAGCAGGACAACCATTTTCAACACTGATAATAGTGAGAAATGTTTCTTGAGCACCAAATCAGCACATTAGAATGATTTCTGAGGGGATAATAAGACACTGAGGTCTGGAGTAATGATGCTGAAAATTCAGCTTTGCTTCACAGGAATAAATTACATTATAAAATAGCACACTTAGCATAAAATATATATTTTTTTAAACATAAAAAAATCATACTGACCCCAAATGTTTTAATGGAAGTGTGCGTCAAACTTTTTAGACGATTAGGGTAGACAACATATTTAACATATTTACTTACCTCTACTAGGATCTCTCGATTGATCAGCACACAGTTCTCATCGGGAAAGGTGTCGCACAGCTGATCAAAGGCAGTCATACTCTCCCTGAAATTGCACATTTTATGGAATGACATTTACTACTATGTATTGTGCAAACTCTGTGCTTAACATTTCACAACAGGTTTAATGGCTGTTTCAGGATGTCAGGATCAGAAAGCACTACCTGCTGATTGCCGCCCAGGTTTTCTTTAGCCGGTAGACAGCATTAGACTGAAGAGCAGATAAGATGGCTCTTAGAGAGGAGAAGTTTCTTAACTGACGGCACTCCTGTCATACAAATAATAATAAATAGAACAAATCAGCTTAAAAAAAGAAATATTAACTTCACAAATTCACACTGGATCAAATATGCACCAACACAAAGTGATGATGATCCTTAAATGTCTGTGCCATTAAAATTCAAGTCAACAGTTTATTGCTCTGCAAGATTCTCTTCAAACTGTAGCTCTGTCACGACAGTAACTTTAGCAGAGTGTTCAATTCAATTCACATTTATTTGTATTACTGTGTCCAAGTAATGCATTTCAGAAATGTACATATTCAAATCATGCAGTTAGCTAACATCGTATACATTTTAAGTGTATGAGTGTCTCCTCCTAATGCCTATTATAGTGCTCCTTGTGAGAACTGCAAAAAAAAAAAATTCATAATGATTTGCGCTCTGACATTTCAGAATGCAATCATGCATTTAAATTTGCATTCACATACTTGCCTTTTCATAGTTTTCACATGACGACGTCACACCCTTATAGGTACACCCACCTGGAGGGCAAAAGAAGGCTTTCCTCCATTCCTCCTGCCAGTTATTTTTACCAAATACTAATGTAGTGAGACAGTGATATTAAAAAAAACAAATTCAATATGAACCTTAATAATTATGCATACTATGTACAGGCAAGCAGATGAACCCAGAATATAAACACAACACAGTTTCCCCTTAAGCGTTTTTACACAGAAAACCATTATAAAGAAGACGCTTAAACATTTAGCGAGTTGCGTTCAAATTCTGGGCTCATCTGCATATAGTATGCCTCATCAATAAGGTGTAAACAGAATTTGATCTTATAATATCACAGTTTTAATACATTTAGGCACTTTAAGGCCTGGTGTCACAGACAGGGCTTAGATTAAGCCAGGATTAGGCCCAAATTCAATTAGGACATTTAAGTAGCTTTTATAAACATAACTTAGAAAAAAACATTACTGGCATCAAACACTATGTGCAACTTGAGACAAAACAATGGCACTGGCATATTTTAGGATATGTCACTGCAAATTGTTTTCAGTTAAAACAGCTCAAAAATTTATTTTAGCCTAGGATTAGGTTTAAGCCTTGTCTGTGAAAACAGGGGTAAGTGTTTTTCACGTTAAGTGTTGTACAATGTCCCGCCGTTTCCAATGCCCAGAACTTGCATTTGATCACATGTTTTTGTTTTTCTTCTTTTGAAAGGTGATCTTAATATTCGTGGCATGAAACAAATGGAAAATTTGCAGGCCTGTTCTGCAGTTCTATGGATGTTTTGCTCTACAGATCTAAAGATGAAAACTATGTATAGTATGTTTTGAGCCTAATACACACCTGAGCCACAGAGATCCACTTCTCAATTATCGTTGCCCTGTGTGTAGGGCTGCTACGAGGGCAGGATGGGGAGCCGGGAGAGGAGGTGGCAGAAGGGCACAGCAGAGAGGTGATAACGCAGTTAGTGACGGCATTGAACTGGGCAATGGTGGCACGGACCGTGGGCGCTAGATTCCGGTTCTCTTTCTTGTCCCTTTGAGACCAAATGCAGCCAAGGCAGTGAAACGGAACCACTTTGACAAAGAGTTCCTGAGAAAGAAATGGAAATAGATGAATAAAAGTAGGCCAAAAATAAAAACTAGCCTCAGTGTGCAAAACTTGACACCTACAGCATCTAATAGCGTGAGCTGCTCAGCTATGTCTTGAGCTGGGAAGGCCAGTACATCCCCCATCTCTTCTGTGTCCCGTCTGTCCATGGTGTCTTTAGTTTCTGGACTCTCTACGGCAGCAGCAGCACTGGCTTCTACTGATGTACCCATGTGCTTGTCTGTTGATCCATAAGAAGTTATTTAGCACTGATTTTTGGGGTGTATGTGCATAAACGCTCAATTAGCCATATTTCAAGGCTTGCCTTCAGTCTGAAATTTTCTGAGAAGAGCATCGGCTTGATTAACCAGACGTCTGAAACAAAGGCGATGACGCAGATGAACACAGAGCAGCCGGAGAGCCTGTTGATCCGGAGAGTCCCGAAGGTCCTCGTGATATTCGTCCAACCACAGCCGGATCAGACAGGGCAGAGAACTGCATACACACACACATAGGTTAGCACCTTATTGTTTCATACTAATTATTGAAACTTATGGATTTAGGAATAACATAGATGGAAAAAACAGTTTCAAAACTTTAATTCAAGTATAATGGTTGCATTGGACAACCCATTTCAATTTAAAGGTAATTATAAAACAGTATTACTACATGGCTCTCTGAAATGCTTGATTCTGGTTAGTCACGGTATTCTGAGGTCAGTTATTCCCCGATAATTACTGTAGAAATGCTGTATAATCATGATCGCTCGTGCGGGTAATTGAGGCTGGCTCTTTTTTCATGTTTCTCGTATCACACCACGGACACGTTCTCTCTGGTTTCATTCCAAAGATTTTAAAACGGTTTCTTCTCAAATCAATATAATGTGGCAAGTAGTCATGTAACAAGCATGATAATTTTCATGCACCCGGTTGTTATCACAAAATAAACCCTTCAGGGAAGATCACAGTGTCGAGGTTTACATTAGGGGTGTCCAAACTCAGTCCTGGAAGGCCACAGTCCTGCAGAGTTTAGCTCCAACTTGCCTCAACACACCTGGCTGGGTGTTTCTAGTATGCCAACAACACCTTGATTAGCTGGTTCAGGTGTGTTTAACTGGGGTTGGAGCTGAATTCTGCAGGACAGTGGCCCTCCATGAGTAGGATTGAACACCACTGCCTATTTGACCACAGAATATAACAAACTGATCAGAATCAAGACTACCAGGAAGTTTCTTAAGATTCACCTTACCTCCTGACACAGACACTGTTGTCCAGATTGGTGACCATGTCCTCTCTACAGAGACAAATAAATAAGTCCAAAGTTTATATTCAAAAAACCCTTCAAAGAAGCTTTAGGATTCTGAACATTGCAACAATTTCTGTTCATGGTTTTAACACAAATGTGTCACAAGTGCTCTTTCAAGGCCTAATGCCTTTATTTATGCTTCAACAGAAAACAAAGAACACTCAATGTTCAACAAAAGAGCCTCTGACGCCGCTGACTAGTCAAGTGAAACCTGTTCTACAATGTGAGGTGTTCTCCTCCATTCCACTGCATCACTGATATGTATGGTGTGACTATTATACTGCCACAGTCATCATGTGTCTCATGGGAAACACTTAGCCTCACAATGAATTTAGAAATGTGGGCTTCCCACTTCATTTGAATGTTCACGGTCACTGAGCCCTACGTATGCAGAGTAAATATCATATTTAAATACAGTACATGAGAGATAGCTGTGTCAAAAACGGAAGTCAGTCAATGACTTGATGTCATTGATAAGGTACCTTGAGAGGAAGCTGGCAGGTTCAGTATTAATTAGTTTTAATTATGTCTAAAAAGTATGTTTTATCATATTATAATGCTTATTTCTTAGTAGAAATAGAATCATAAGTTATTATGATTGAAATTATTATTATATTATTATGATGAAATTATAACATTTTAGAGAGCCCCTACAGAGACTAGTTTATCAAAGGTGATTATAAAAATATGAGTTGGGGGGATCTATTTTTAACGATTTCGAGTTCTCTAACAGAAAATGCAAAAAAAATGGCATTTGCCTACAAAGTGGTTGCCTTTCCGAGAGAAACTTCACGTTCACTAGCAAATGCGTTGAAATATAGTTTTTCTTCCCACCTTATACTAGAATGCAAAGTGAAATGAGGGTCCATAATGTCAATTTGGGTAGACTATACTTATAAACACCTTCTTTCTTTTTTTTAAATTACTAATCGTTCAAAAGTTTGAGGTCAGATGGTTGTGAAAGAAGTCTTTTATGCCTACCAATGCTGCATTTATTTGATCAAAAATACAGTAAAAACAGTAATATTGTGAAATTTTGGAGTGTCACATGATCCTTCAGTAATCATTCAAATACGTTGATTTGCGGCTCATGAAACATTTCTTATTAACGTTGTAAACAGTCGTGCTGCTTAATATTTTCGGGGGATTTTTTCAGAATACTCTGATGAACAAAGTTTAAAAATCTTTTGTAACAATATAAATGTCTTCACTATCTCTTTTTTTATCAGTTTAATGAATCTTTGCTGAATAAAAGTATTAAAGGGTTAGTTCACCCAAAAATGAAAATTCTGTCAGTATTTACTCACCCTCATGTTGTTCCAACCCCGTAAGACCTTCGTTCATCTTCGGAACACGAATTAAAATATTTTTTATGAAATCTGAGAGCTGGATCACTCCTCCATAGGCTTCTTCAGGGATTGAACTTGCCGGCCTCGAAAAGTTGTTAAAGACATCGGTAAAATAGTCCAAGTGACTACAGTGGCTCAATCTTACGTTTATCAAACGACGAGAACACTTTTTGTGCGCAAAAAAACAAAATAACGACTTTATTTCAACTATTCATGTCCATCTCTTTGGGCCTGGAGTCAGTTCACTAGTGTAATAGCGTACGCTTCTGTTGTTGTACGTCACACGCATCACCCACATGACCAGCGTCAGCCAATAGTGAGCCTACACGTGACGTAGCTCTACGCAATTACACTAGTTTAACTGACTAGAGGCCCAAAGAGAAGGAAATGAATAGTTGAAATAAAGTCGTTATTTATGTTTGTTTTTGCGCACAAAAAGTATTCTCGTCGCATGATATACTTTAGATTGAGCCACTGTAGTCACTTGGACTATTTTAACGATGTCTTTAATAACTTTTCGAGGCCGGCAAGTTTCACTCCCTGAAGAAGCCTATGGACTAGTATGGAGGAGTGATCCAGCTCTCAGATTTCATCAAAAATATCTTAATTCGTGTTCCGAAGATGAACGAAAGTCTTACGGGGTTGGAACAACATGAGGGTGAGTAAAAACTGACAGAATTTTCATTTTTGGGTGAACTATCCCTTTAACTTAAAAAAATATTATTGAAGCTAAAATTTTGAATGGTGGTGTTAATGTTAGCTTAATGTCCCTGAACACTAAACTCTTTAATTGAGAGTTTATGCTCACCTTTGAAACAGGACTTCTATGAGAGTATTTGTGCAGGTAAAGGCTCTGTAGGTGGAAAGGAAGATTTGCGTGTAATCTGGGTCGGGGCACTCTGGGTTCACCAATTCTGTGACAAGACGCTCCAGAGTGGCTGCTTTAAGCCTGCGGACCTTCAGTGTGCGGTACTGCATGAAGCCAAAGGCAGAATCGTTCTCAGCGGCATCAGCTGGGGGTTGGATGGGTTCTCGGTGAAGAGTGACCCCGTAGACGGCCCCGTCTTCCACCTCCTCTCCCCACTCCTGCACTGGGTCCTGGAAAACAGATCATCAGGATAAACAGGTTTAATTTGCAGCAGACTAATGGAAAAATATGCACACATTGAACCTACTGTAAAACTTGATATGATGCCCCATTGCATAGCTATTTAACAAAGACAGTGCCATCATAAAATTCTATTTTGCAGTCCTGATGAAACTGCGGCATGTCATGAGATTTTTAGAAGAAAACAAAAGGCAGAACTGTAGTTTCTGCAGTAAAATGCACTGAAATATAGGTCTTCAACTAAAAAAAAAAAAAAAAACAACAATGCCTGCAAAGCACTGACCTAACATTTCATGTGTCCAGGAGGAAATATACAAAACAGTTCTATGGAAAACACAGGCAAATTGTTATCCAAATTACAAGTCAGGAGGAGTGACTACACATTATCTTCACTGGCTTGAGAAGACAATAGCCTACATTGCATATTGCATTTATGTTCTCAGCAGATGCTTTCTCAACAAAATCGTATAAAACACAGTGTTCAGCTTATCCTATAAGCAAATCCACCAAACATTTTTTTACGGTAACAGTAACACCACTGTTGAACGATGTCCACACAAGAAGCCATTTTCATTTTTTAAGGAAAGAGGAGAAATCATTGTGGAAAAACATAACTATGATACCAAAAATCCTCCTTGGTGGTAAAATGAAACCACAGTTATTTGCATAGCAAATTCCATCCCTGAATGAAAAACAGCTGTGGGCGAATAAAAAACAAAACATATGGGGCTTAAATAAAGACAGACTGTGTGACACACTGGAGTAATTAAGTCCAGTGTTTTCTCTCTCAGAACAAGAAGGGTTGTTGTTGGGTTGATTGTTGACTGATTCAGATGTGACCAGCATTAGATGAACTCATAACAACTCACTTGAGAACATATTAGCATAATGGTATCATCGGTCACTGATTCTTGAGACACGTGACGGGACGAACATTTACTCATTGAAATCAATAACAGATTGTACTAAAATATTCTTAAAACAAAGTCTATTCGATTTTCTTTTTGATTTTTCAAAATAATGGCATTAGCTATAAAACCACATAAAACTCAATACATTAATTTAATTGTAAACAAAATAATACACTACCATTCAGAAGTGTGAGTTCAGTAAAGAAATTTACTTTTTTTTTATTTTTGCATTAAAATTTCAAAAGTCACAGTAAAGACATTTATGTTACAAAAGTTTTCTATTTTAAAAAATGCTGTTCTTTTGAAGTGGAATCACAGTTTACAGAAAATCATTAAGCAGTACAGCTGTTTTCGACATTAATAATAAATAGAAATGTTTCTTGAGCATCATATCAGCATATTAGAATGACTTCTGAAGGATCATGTGACACTGAAGACTGGAGTAATGATGCTGAGAATTCAGCTTTCACATCACAGAAATAAATTACATTTTAAAATATATTAAAATATAAAAGTTATTTAAATTAATAATATTTCACCAAATGACAGTTTTTACTGTATGTTTTATTTGAAAAAAGACTGATCCCAAACTTTTGAACATAATGTAGGCTATATGAACTATGGCTATATGAAGAAAAAAACATATAGCCATAAAAGAAAACATAAAACATAAAAGAACATAATGTAGGCTATATGAACTATGGCTATATGAAGAAAAAAAATTCGATTTGTAAAAGAAACACTTCTATGACCTGACAAAAGGAGGTGAATCTTAAAAATAAACCTTTTTGTGTATTTTTTCATACATTAGTTCAATAAGGGGACATATAAGATATTGTTACCTAATTTCTTTAAGTAATTAAAAAAAATATTATTAAAATTAATATATTTAGATAATTTCCCTGGGTCTTTATATAAACATCAGGGAAAAAAATCTGTTTTTTTTTATATATGTGTGACATGGAAAATATGTAAGCTGTCACAAGCCAGGTGGTGAACACGTTGAACAGATTTATCCTAAATTATTCTGATGTAGGCCTACATAAAAAAAAAAAAAAAAAGATTTTTCACTTCTGTAAACGGTTTTGTTCTACATTGCTCAGTGGCAATAGCTCTACCAATATCTCAGAATATACTTACTACATAATATGCAAACCACACATTTGGAAAAGGTTGTGCTTCCAAGTAACCCAAGGACAGTCTATTCCTCTAACACATCAATTGTTGTGAAAATCACAAGTGCATTCTTCCCAGAAACTGCAGTCAAGCAAAACAGAGAGCTTTCCAAGCCAAAGCCCGTGTCTCCTTTAAAACTGTGCCATGGAACAAAACACAGGGAATGATGGGAGAGGGGAAGCTGAAACTGTGAAACAAAACACAGGCTACACATCTTCAATCTACAGGTGTGTCTGACTGAGAACAAACACAAAATCTGTTCTATTGTGAGACTCCCGAGGGAAACTTTAACTCCACCGCACCCTCCCCCGAGCCCTCATTATGTCGACAGCTGATTAATCGCTTTCCTAAAGCCAATATCGCATCTAATTGTAAAACCACTTAGTTTTGGTCAGTGACAAGATAAAGAAGTGAGATGTCCAGAGAGAAAGAACAGGAAATACTACATTTTCTACAGCATTCAAGTGAAGAGAACACCGCGGTTGATTCATTCGCGCGAGACACTGTCCAACAACACGCGTTCCCCAGTCTGATGATTAAAGTTATTTCTCTCTAGTCATTCCAGTTTCTTAAAATCACATTCAACAGACTTAATGTCCTCGATAAAATAGCTTAACTGAAAAAAAGGTGACTTACCATTGTGACCTCCCATTTCCCCATGTTCTCAGTTCTCTGTTCTTCAGCCGTACGATCAAGCAGTGTAAGCGTTCCCACTTTCCATTAGCGCAGCAAAAACTTTGGAAACTATATTCCTTAGTCAGCTGGTGTTAAAGTTGACTGTCATTGTGTCTAGAGAGCTGCAGGGAATGAATAACTTTGCGAGGTTCAGGTTTAATCAAAAACTCCAGTGAAGATAAAGTCAACTTACTGTTCATTTCATACCTTTATCATCAATTATAAATAGGCTTTAACTGAAGTCTGTGACCCAAGAAAAGGATTATCATTATTATTATTATTATTATGTCCGAGTTTTATTTTTTAGCTGTCTAAATAGCACACAGTACACCTGTAAGTCGCTTTAAAGTGCTGTGGGTTGGTCTCTACGTAGATAAATGCGTCTAGTATGACGTACGTGCGTTACATGAAGATCAGCGAATCATACTATGGTGAAGGCTTGACTTATGAATATTAATTAGGTTACATGTCCAATCGCATCAGTTTACCAAGCAAATTTGCATAGCTAAATTAATAGTCATAGACGGATTTATAATTTCAAGTGTCTTTATTATGAGAGTTTTGGGAGAATTTGGGCAAAACAAAAAGACAGATTTTGGGGAATTAAACTAAATGTATTCAAAGTTATAAGTAGCAAAATCTAATACATGAATTCAAACATACAATTGCTTATTTTTATTTTTCCCTTTGCAATTTAAAGAGCGGCCCAAAAGTCTGAGACCAAGAGAAAATCCTATGCAATTAATTTTACATCATGTGTGATTGTTTATGTCAAGGTTTAATCTCTAATCCCAAAGTTGTGCTGATCAACTGGCAAATACTGCATCCCGTTTTATCCAGGAATAGTACAAATGACTCAGACAACACTATATGCAGATCCTTAGATGAATAATGGTGAACATCTTATGAGATACCCTTTTACAAACCCCATACGCACAATATCTCAATGAGACAATGAGCAAATTGTCGGTTTCTGGGTACAGTGAGTTCATTAATGTCTTTCTGTTCTCTCTGACGTAGATCTGTGAATTTGCAGTGTCCTACAAAAAGCCCACCCCATATACAACGCAACAATGGGTGACACACACTATACTGAACTCTTATTGACAGACCACAATCATGCTAAAAGTATTTATGCATATCCACTAACAATACCACTCATTAATAAGACAGAAGTCACATGCTGATGTGCGCTGATTCACACACTCCAACAAACAGATCATTACATCATTTAAAAAAAAAAAATTATATTTAAATATTTTGTTTTACCATCCAATTCCATGGTGCAAAACAGTCTGAACACCAGGTTAAATAGCTAACAAACTCGAAAAAAGCTTACATGCCAGCAATGCTAAAATACTTTTAATTTTTGACATGCTTAGTAACATTCTGGTCGGGTAGTAACTTTTAGTTAGCGTGTTGGTGATGGATTGTCAACTGCTGGTATTTTCAAGTAAACTGTATTGAAAGACACTTTGTTAGGACAGCATGTGCTAAGGATTTAAATGTCAACGCCAGTTTAATTTTAACCTATGATCCATGTTGTTTACTACAGTCGACTGATCATGTAAATTATTTCTAACCATTCAGGGTTGAGATGCTACACATAAACCACCGTTGACCCTTACCCATAATTCTGACTGCTCTCAATATTTAAATGTGTACACCAACATTTATGGTAAATTCTTTTCTCGAGTTTCTTATGCTCACCAAGACTGCATTTATTTAATCAAAATAAGTTATATTGTGAAATATTATTACAATTTAAAATACATTTTTTCTATTTGAATATATTTTAAAATGTAATTTATTCCTTTGAATACAAAGATTAATTTTTACTCTTCAGTGTCACATGATCCTTCAGAAATCATTTTAAAATGCTGATTCGTTGCTGAAGAAACATTTCTTATTATTATCAATGTTGAAAACAGTTGTGCTGCTTAATATTTGCATGGAAACCCTTTTGTAATTTTTTTTCAAGATTCTTTGATGAATATAAAAAAACAGCATATATTTGAAATATACACATTTTTTAACATTATAAATGTCATTACTGTCACATTTGATCAATTGCATTCTCGCATGATAAAAGGCATTCATTTCTTGTAATTTTTTTTTACTGACCCCAAAGTTTTGAACGGTTGTGTACATTCAACAAAAGTGAAGCTGACAACAATTTTTCATATCGACAAATATTCATCAAAGGGTTAGAAGGGATGGATATACAGTTGACTGCTTTACGGTTGTTCTGTCCTAGCTCATTTCTAGCCAGCTTTGGATATTTATACAGCAGCAGTTTCTCTGATAAAAGCATGCACTAAATGATTAAAAGCAAATGCAATTGTCAATGGATCACCATCAGCACTGACCTCACAGTGTTCCTCAAGGTCCAAAAGATGGAAGCTCCTGAGCCAAACACCGGGCTCCTCATCCATCTGCACATCCACATGATGCCCAGTCTGGCACAGCAGATGCCTCATTCGTCCCAGTCGTGCCCGCAGACCCTTCTCTCCCCCAGACACCACCAGAGACGACCTCATCCTCCACCAGAATCACACGCCAACTTCCTCCAAGAGCTGCAGACACACGTCAGGCATATTATCCAACTTTTACATGCATTCAGTATGGAGCTTCTATTTGCTGGACTGTGGAACAATCATGGAATAAATCGTTATTTAAAAGTTTATTCACGTGAAACACAGGATGAGCTACTCACAGTGGAAGTTGCTCCTTATCCAACGTCTGTTCGTAGTAGATCACCTCCTAAAAATCCATGTTTGCACTCTGATAAAACCAGGGGATGGGATGCCGTGACCTTCCAGAAAGATCCCTCATGAACTGACGCAGAGACCTGAACACTGATGTCTGCTGCACAAGTGACTACTGAGGAGATTATCTAAACTCTAGTAACCCAGCAATTCTCATCCATCCATCTCTGATTTATCTCAATGCTGACTAACATGAACACACTCACACAATAATCTAATTGTCTGTGTAGCAGCGGCAGTAAATATAATTTGACTACGCCACCCCGAGGTCTAACCCGGGGAACTGTAAGTAACCACCAAGACTTCTATAGAATTAGGCAATCAGGTTCGCGCACTGAACAAACAGAGAAATGGTTCGTACAAAGGAATACAATTTTATTAATCAAATTCACAGCAAAAATAGTAAACACTCTGAAAAGCTGACGTCAGCGTATTCTTAAAACACTACACACTGGGTAAGAATCAATACCACATCACAGCACTCCAATGGGGATCAAATAATTAATCATCAATAAAACACAATAATAAATAACACACAAGGATGTGTGAATCAGTGTCCGGACATAGAGTATATTTCACACACGCACACTCACAATACCGGGCTTGAGGCTTACTGGTGGGCGTCCAGCGACTCGGGCATGAGTATCCAAATAATCCACCCCAAACGCACGTGCACAGCCACACAACCAGCACAGCAACGGTCACACTGTGAAGGGAACCACACTACACACTAAAGAGGGCCCACCACCTCGAGCACGCCGTCCCCACCGTCAGCTCTCAGCGCCGCCACATATAACAAAGACAGAATAAACAAAATTAACGATAAGTCATAATTTCACACCATAAATCAAACTAACAATGATGACAAAGACAAAAAAAAAACAAGAACTTTTCCAGAACGGCAACAAAGAAAATGAGATAGAGGAAAAAAAACAACAGTAATACTTTTAAGTCAAATAAACAAACAAAAACATGGAATAACCATGCACACCAACAACAATGCAGATAAATGAAATACACAAAAAGGCAAATTAAATGACTTTACCAAACAACTATAATACTGGCAAATGAAATAACCAAAGAAACTAATGAAATTACTTTACCAAAACGACTATAGTGCTGGTAAAGGAAATAAACAAAGAAGCAAAATGAAAGTACTTTACAAAACGATTATAATGATGGTAAATGAAATAAACAAAAAGGCAAATTAAATGACTTTACCAAACAACTATAATACTGGCAAATGAAATAACCAAAGAAACAAATGAAATCGCTTTTAGAAAATAAGAACGCACAACCCACTCAAATGATCACATAACAAACACACTCATCCGTTGATACACACATCTGAGGGCAGATACTCAGTCGGCCACACAAGTGGCCTACGATGCAGTTTCCTTGAGCAAAAATGAACTCAGTCCATTAACTTGGACTCGCCGTAAACAAGTTCGACACGTAGGGGGACGTGCAGTAACAGTATTTAAGCAAAGCAGCAGTTGCCCCAAGGCAGGCCGCAAACGCTTCCTTGCTATAGTAGCTATCCCTAAAACACACAATAATGGTTTTATTAAGCTACCGCCCAAATAAGGCAAATACATTACCCAAATGGGGAAAACTTACCTGAGCCACAGCGCGCGACACACACATCTCGCAGGCGAGTCAACAAACAGGCGAGTAACACGTTATTCCGTTCAACTCAATGGAAAATGGGTTAGCCGCAACACAAGGAATTCTATGAAAAATCGGAATCCCACATAAACCACAAGCAAACTAACACAGTACAACATTTGCAATAGACCTCTACATACCTGCAACACCACCAGGAACTGGGTGAACCCAAACAACACAAGCCTACAACGTCACGCACTGCCCTAGAGGGTACGTTTCAAGCTTTAACCTCCTCCTCCTAACATGATTGGCCACCACGGACTCACCACAAGCCAATCACGAACCGGATAGGAAGGACAACAGCCAATGTAACCAAATGGGGAGGAGGGACTGGATTCAACCACAGTCCATCCTGCCACAATCTACCCGGCCTTTTTAAGTCGGCGCCACGACGATGGGCCACCAGAAAGACAAGGCATGTGAACCATTTGTATCAATGAAACAGTACTTTGTCTCCCTAACACACCGATCTTGGGAGATGGTGGAGGTTTGAATGTTGTCCAGCCGTTGACCGGGAGGTCTGACGTGCTCTTACTTCCGTCCCATCGGAGGAGTTAGGCAACACAGCCACTCCAGGGAGTGGAGAGCCACCCACCTCCACTGGAGGGGCTAAAAGGGGCGACGTACTGTGATCGTTATTGGCTGACCCTGTCGCTGGAGACTCAGACGCCAGCCGAGAAGCTGGCCAGCCCTGGATCATCAAGTCATAATCGCCCAGCCATTCCTCCTGCCTGGCTACA